CATTAGAAGTCCAGTGTTAGTGAAGTTAGTCAAAGAAAGTTGTAGTATTTTTATCAAGAAGCATGAGCACAAGTTAATAATTAAACCTTCATTGTTTACTTGATAGTTTTATGATTTCTGGATTAAGGTTTACATATGTTTTAATTCCTTTAGAATTACAAAAACAGCAACAACAAACAGCAAGAACATGATAAAGTTTGCCTAAGTGATATTTCTTTCAAGTATAAAATAGCAGTAGTGCTATTGCCCACCAACAAAGAAAATTATTTTTAAAATGTGTCTCCTAGAAAAATGAAGAATTGTGCACTATTGCTCTCACCTGATTTCAAAGAACAAAGTAACTCAAGCAGCCAGAACCCAATAAATCACAATGACAATCAATAACTTAATAATAAAGATGCCCACCAAATGATACAGATCCAATTATACTGTTGTTTGTAAAACTGTTTACCTTCAAATATCTGTCTACCAAGATCCTCATGTATTAGTTTTCCCTTCCTCTGCTCAGCTTTTGTCCTTTTGGACCTTCCCTCCATACATTGTTTCCTCCTTGTACAATTTCACTCTCTGAAGATGGAAAGTAATTCTTAAGTACAACTTACTTTTTAGACAGAATGTCATAAGTATATGCTATGTATAAAATAGCATCATGAAATTCCTCTTGGAGCAGAAATCACCAAGAGGCATACTATCCAAGAACTACATTTCCCACCCCCTCTGCATTCAAAATAAGGCTCTGTAACAAATGAAATCTGGGAAGATGTCACTTTAAGTTTGGAGGTTATTAATAAGAAATGGTCTTTGGGGAATAGGCATGACTCTAGGACTCTAGGAATGGTGAAGTGACAAGACTGATTTCAAAGACTTGTTCTTTGAAATCAACTGAAGTGACAGAAGCCTGGGTCTCCAAATTGCCTGCTACCCAGGAGCACCTGCCTTGCACTGTCAGGTAAACAAAATAAACTGTGTTAAGCCACTGGAACTCTGGAGATTATTTATTACCCTAATTAGCATTCCCCTAAAGTAATAAATGTAGAAATTCATAAGTATTCCAATTTTCTCTATTAAACACATTTATAACATGAATTTTGGAAAGCATGTTTAAAAGTACCTTTATGTAACATTAAATTTTAAAACATACCCAGGTGTGGTAGTGCACACCTGTAATTCCAGCATTCTTGAGAGACTGACACAGGAGAATTCTATATTTGAGTCCAGCCTGGGCAACTCAATGACTTAGCAAGACCTCACCTCAAGTTTTAAAAAAACATTAAAACAAAAAGTGCTCAAAGAGGCAGTTCAGTGTAAAGATCTTGGATTAAACCCCCAGTACAAAAATAAATAAATAAATAAATAATAAAAAACTAAAACCTAAACAGTTGTCTACCTTCATTTTGTTGTAACAGAATTCCTTTAAACAAATGACTACATGGGAAGTTTCATTAATAAATTTCACTAAGTAAAATTAGCACAAAACCATGATTGCAGAGAAATGTTTTCCCCAATTATCTCAAATTAAATATATATGTAAGCTTTTTAAATACTATATAATTCATGATGTCTAATGGAAACTACCAAAATAAGGGCAAAATTCATTTTTATATTTTAAGTATTATCATTTAAGGTAACAATTCTTTAACTATAAACATGAAAGATGATTCTTCTGTTCACTGTAAATATACACTTACCCACTACAATACTTTAAGAGAACTGTAATACTTTGCATTCTAATGAAATACTTCAGAAATTTTTATAAAAAATTAAACTAGATGTGTCAAAGTAACTAGGTTTAGTTTTACAAAAACCTAGTAAGTTTTTTAAGTTTATCATTGCTGATACAATAATGATATCAGGTCTAATTAAGAATATTGGCATTTGTAAATAGGGACATTACAAACAAACCAATAAAATTCCATATTTTGCCTTGCCTTCACCAAGGGGGGTGGAAAAAGGGAAAAAGAAAATAAAAACCTTTCACTAATCTTTCTGTTAACTTTCTCTTTGTACTCCATGTCATTATTTTTTTCCAGACAATATGTTTAAAATTCAGTGAACACATTTACTACTCCACACAAAACAATAAAAATAAAACATAGGAAGTTCATAGTTTTGATTTTACTCAAAAACATTATAAGAGGTTTTGTTTCTCAGAATCAGCATGAACTGAAAGAATTATATATAGCATTTCCTGTGGTATTCATTTTTTATGGCACTATATAAAATCTGGTTCCTTGCTCCTTTTTAATGCTTGATTTTACTAGAACATGTACATGTTACCTTAAATTTTTTTCCAGGGCCACACATCAAAAAATCCTAATAAAACTGATGGGCTTTTTTTAAGTATGAAATAATATGAAGTACAACTACTCTATGAACTAGAGTACTGTGATACACTAATGACAATTTGACTTTTAGCAAAAGAACTTAACACACATTAAAACTGTTTATATACTGCATGCCTATCAAAGGACTCTGAATTATCCTACTATCTTGATTTTTTTTTTCCTTTGGTTCTTCTCCCTATTTAACCCAGGCTGGCTTTCAATTTGTAAACTTGTGATCTTTCTGCCCAAGCCTTCCAAGTGCTGGGATTACAAGCATTTGCCATAATACTATGCAAAGTTGTTTGTTTGTTATGCAAAGAATGGAACTTAGGCCTCATACATGCTAGGCAAGTGCTTAACCACTAAGCTATATCCCCACAATAAGTACTATTATCTTGGTTTTTACTCAGCTACATACTACTGTTGTTAGTAAAAAATACTTATAGTTACTGCTTTCCAATGTTCATAAGGTTTTAGCAGGCAGAACTAAAACCAAGTATCAACTAGATCCCAAACATTTTTCATTATTCTCACAACCTTACTAAAAAGGTGTTATGGGCTTAAGGAAAGAATAGGACAACACTAGATGGAGTCACAGACTTGTTACTCATGAGGCTGAGGCAGAAAGATTTCAAATTCACAGCCAGGTTGGCAATTTTTTAGGGAGGTGTATCTCAAAACAAAATTTAAAAGCAAGGGCTGGAAGCTAGGCACTTTGACACATACCTGTAATCCCACCTCTAATCATGAATGAAACTGGGGATCACAATTTCAAGTGGGGAGAGAGAAAATGACAAGAGCTGGGAATACAACTCAATATAGCATATTAAAGATCCTGAGGTTCATTCCCAAGTGGCATACGCACTTGAAAGGTATGATCTCCCTACTGCTGATAAGAAAGCAAAAGTTTTTGAGTGCTACATGTACAGTATTTCGCCTATGGCCAAACAGCTAAGAAAAAAGACATAGCAACAATTCTGAGATCTCTAAATCCTTTTGTCATTAAACTACTTCTCAATTTGTGGTAACAGAAAACAGTTCTTCAACCTTCTTCCTCTTACTCCCACACCTGGAGACAGCATCGCTATTTCTTTGTGAGACCAGGTTCAAAGATCAATCTGTAGCCCTTATACACAGCATGGCCTAAAAGGATGAAACCTGTTTTACGACTTTCTGCATAGTAAGGGTCTATCTAGATTAACTCGATAAAAGGTGAAGCAAGTGAAGTCAACAAATAACTACCCAAATACCATTTATATTTGGTTCTGAAATGCACGGTACGCCTATTGGCAGCAGATTTTATCTTTATAATCGCATTTTGCTTACACCACTCTCAAAATAGTTTTCCAAGAGCACACACAGGGTAAAAGCTGTTTGTGCGAGGTTTCGATGACTGAGGAAAAGATGTGTGTGGTACATGACTGTCTTGAGTGACAACTACGATAACTAGGGACAGTAAATGTGTGTCTCCTAAAATGTGGCGCCGTGCCACCAACGTGTACTTTTCAAAAGCTGAGCTGAACTCTCCGAGCACAATCCTCCTAAAACAGCTCACTAAACAGCTGGCCCAGTGGAGGAAGATGACAGCTTCAGTAACTTCCTCTTCCTCACCGACCTCTGCTCGGCGCGCTCCAGCCTTTCCCCCCTAGGAAGCAGGATAAAACAATTTCAAAAGCACAGAAATCGATCCAATCCCACCAATACCTTAGGCCAGGAAGCCAGTTTTCCTTTTCTTCTTTCGCCCCTCCGCGGAAAATGTTGATCTTACACACACACACACACACACACACACACACACACACACAAATCTTAACAACGAGAAAGTATTTGCAACAAAAAACCAAAATATTTACCCAGTCCCTGCACGCACGGCCTGAGAGTAAGGTGAGAAAAGGGAACGGAACGCCGCGTCCCCGAGATCCGCGGCTGATTCACTTTCCCTCGGGTACCTTCACTAGATAGCCAGAGAAGGCTCGCAGTCGCAACGCCAACAGAACCCCCCGGCGCGCCTCGGGGACGCGGAGGCGGCCAAGGCGGCGGCCCTTGGCGCGTCCCGCCCCCGAACCTCACCTGCGCCGGCCCGAGGCGGGTAGGCCGCGCTGCAGGCCGG